GAGTACCCTCTTCCTCCGTGTGAAGAAAAGGAAGAAATAAATCAATCAAATTACGAGAAGCCTCATAAAGCGCTTCCTTAGGGGTTAAACTTCCATTGGTCCATATTTCTAGAAAAAGTATCTCATATTTTGCATTTCCATTCCCACAAGCAAAAATACTATAATTCACATTTCATTCCCACAAGCAAAAATACTATAATTCACATTTCGAACAGGCATGGATACAGCATCTATAGGATAACTTCCATCTTGAGTGTTCTTTCTGACTTCAATGTGATATCCGTGATCTCTCTTGATCCGTAACTCAATACGGAAATCCGTGGGTTCTGTCAAGTTAGCTATAGGTTGTGCCGTATCAACGATTTCTACGGAAGGCGGTAAGATAATATCTTGGGCAGTTATGTATCTAGGACCTTTGACGCAAATTGATGTGGTTCTAACTCCATAGAGATTACTTCTCAATATAATTTCTTTCAAATTTAGTAAAATTTCTTGTACCGATTCTTCAATACCTGCTATTGTAGAATATCCGTGTGGCACACTCCCAAATTTTGCATGTGTGATACATGTTCCTTCTGTTTCTCCAAGTAAAGCTCTTCGCAGGACAATACCAACGGTATCCGCTTGACCTTTTTTAAGCGGGGACAGAATGAAACGACCATAATAAAGACGCTTACTATCTACTCTTGATTCAACACACTTCCACTGTAGTGTTTGAGTGGATCCTGCTACCTCCTCTCGAACCATATAGACTAGTATTATTATTTGATCATTGAATCGTTTATTTCTCTTGAAATGGGTTTAATTCTTTTACAGACGTCTTTTTTTAAGGAGGTCGACACCCATTATGCGGCATAGGTGTTACATCGCGTATACAACTTAATCGTACACCACTTTTATTAATGGCTCGTAATGCGGCATCTCTTCCACTACCAGCACCCTTTACCATAACTTCTGCTCGTTGCAAACCCACTATACGAATAGCATCTACAGCTGTTCTTTGACCAGTATAGGGTGATGTTTTTCTTGAGCTTTTGAATCCACAAGTACCCGCGGAGGACCAGAAAACCACCCGACCTTGCGGATCCGTAACAGTTATAATAGTACTGTTGAAACTAGCTTGAACATGAATAACTCCTTTTGTTATTCTACGTGCACTCTTCCGTAAACTAAAACGCGCATTCCTACGCAAACCAATACATACTTTCCTACGTGAACCAATTTTTGGTATAGCTTTTGTCATATTTTATTATCCTCTGGCAGCTATGCTACGCCGATAGACCTCCACACAGAATCAATGAGGGATCCTTTTGGTGGAAGGATAATAAAAAACTTGCAGATTTATATAAAGTTCTGGCCAATTGCCAACCAAAAAGTGGTAATACAGTGTTATTTCGGAAAGATTGTCGGCATGGACATTTGCTCAGGAAAAAAAATTGCCACATCTTTTTTTAATTCATAAACAGCCCTAACATTACTCTAAGAGAAGTTATGAATCTTGAAGACAAAAGCTCATTTTTTCAGCGGCCACTCTCAATCGAAGCTTATGAACAATTTCAGGAAATGCAACACATATTTGACAATATAATCCTAACAGAAAAAAAAAGACTCTTCGACATATATCTGGAATTATGGGACTTACACATCAGTGAAGGCATATAAATGTTTTGCCTCCATCTTTTAAGTGGCTCTGGGCAAGTTGTGTGCAATCAAAGCACAAGGTTTTTTCTGACTTTTGTTAAATGATAGGCTAAATACAAGAAATCTGCTGAGAAGGAAAATTTCGAGAGGGCTAACTATAATTATGTACTTTGCAATCAACAACATGAGGAGACACTGCAACACCTCTTCCTGACTTGTCCATTCTCTCAATGTTGTTGGAATTTCATTTGCCCCAGAAAGAGAAGAGACCATACAGTCCAAGAAGCAGTAGAAGATATGCGAATAAAGTTGCAAGTTCCTTTTTCAATGGAGATTTTAATTTTGATGGCTTGGAGGGGAGCATTTGGATCACAAGAAACATCAAGATTTTTAGAAATATCCCTCCCCTTTTTCAAATTTGCATAGATAAATTCATACAGGAATTTGCCTTGGTTATTCATAGAGCAAAGATAGCTTAAAACCTCTCATGTTACGATGCCTAGAAAACATTTGATTCTTCTTTCATACATAGATTCTCTTATAGTTTTTCTGTTAAAATATACAGCCCGACCCACCAACCGTGAGCCACCCAGGTTACATTGGGCCTACTTCACCACAGGCCTAACCGGAGCCACAACTTTAGGTCCTGGGCCTATATAATCCAAAAGAATAGTATGATGAGTGAGGACCGCCCCCACCTTTTAAGTCATGCTCTCCCATCATCAATTATCGATGTGGGACTAAACCCAACAATCTCCCCTGTCACACATCGGGCCCAACAATCTCCCCCATCACATCAACCCATGTGACCCCGAAGACTTGTTACCTGACCTCCCCACCATGTGACCCATGGAAATTGTTCCGGGTTCCAAACCTAGGCTCTGATACCACTTGTTATAAAACCGGCCTTGAAATCACATCGGAAACCAAATCGCGGAAGAAAACGCAATAGGAGATCCAAACATGATGACGACATCGAGGCACGATATTTGATAACGGAGTTCAGCCGAGGCCTACATCTCCGGGGCACTGATTACAGGCACTCCTCCCTGATCCAGCATATTACAGCGTATCAGAGTTACAACGACTCACGGCCGGTCGCCGCCAGCAGCCGCTCCCTCTCGCTACGCTATGTCGCCATGCGGTTACAATATGCACGTCCCTCTATTTATGAGAGATCTTAGGATAGAGTCCGACTCATACTCTAGTCCTAATATCTATTACAATTCCAAGTCCTAAACTGTAACTGACTACGTACACATATTCGACACAAACTGTAACATTTTCATTAAAAAAACATTATAAAACCAAGATTAGTATTATGCCACTAGCCCTCCTAACCTGGTGTTAATCTGCAGTGATATACTTGTCATCGTTCTTTTTTTTTTTTGGGAGGAGGGGGGGGGGAACTTGAGTTTTTTGGTGTGCATTTGCATGAGCGTATTCATTAGCAACAGTTTCAATTTCAACAAGTTGTGCTGCTCCACTAAAGTAGCTAGCGTGTCGTCTCGCACAACTCAGCAGCAGCAGCTAGCCAGAGATTTGTATGTACTACAACATGGAGTGCAGACGAGGTCAAACCAAAGTAGTGTAGGAGTACGCTATATATCTAATCTGCCATTTGATATTGATGGCTTTATATCTCCAGCACATTTTGCATGGACAAGCTGACAGTCTAAGAGCCTTTATCAGTGCAAGTATCCTGTCAACTTGTCAAGTGCCTTGCTAATAATTTGCGTCGAATTGCAGGACACATAAGAAAATTGGGAATTAATTAATATCGAACTCCATATATAATTATTTTCAGGGAAAATTTACACTGTAAGATAAGGCAACATGTACTTACAAAATGAGCATATATACTTGCAACGGCTTTTCCATTTCTAACTCAATACATTTGTTTTTTTAAAAATGCATAGTCCCTCCGGTCACCAAAGAACGTCATTTTAGACTCTTCAAAATCAATAAGCACATAATTTGGATTACCAAATATTTCGGCGTAAACTCAAAATGGTTGCACACCATACCAGTTTGATATGTCCAAAACTTATATGCTATCCAATAATTATGGTCAAAGTAACCTTATCTTCACTGCACGGATTACAAAACAATGATTTATCTTGTACTTGAGGGATCAAGTGTGTATATATATACACACACACGCGCGCTAAGGTCGAATTTGCTTATGTGATAGTAATTGCAAACAGACACCATTTTGTTTTGAAGAAAAAAAAGAAGAAGAGAAGATAATCGAGTGTTGAATTGGCTAAGTTAATTAACCTTTCCCCTATATATGGCATTAACGCCACCAACCTCCTCACTATTGGCACCCTCTCACAATCAGTGGTTCTATTGTCACCTCGCTTCTCCTGCACCCAAACCGCTAGTGTCATAGTAACGGCCCTTCTCTAATTATGCTGTTACTCACTCCAACCTAGTTGATTATTGCCACAATCCGTAATGTGCTTGTAGTCGATCATTCCCATTCTTGCTCTATCGATCCTACTACTTTGGTCATTCGGTTTATGGTGCAAGACATAAGCACAAGATTAATTACTTGATCTGCTGATTCTAATGCAAGCCAAAAACAGCAATCACACATCACTTGGGTGCGGCACGAGGCCAATTTTGTTTGCAACTGTGATATATAGTTTATAGATTTGTGCATATTTATCATCTTTATCCAGTCTTAAAAAAATTTCTAGATCCACCATTGGTTCTATCCAAAATAATTAACCTAGCGCAGGCCGACGTTACATTTCTATTTTCAGGATAAACCATGTCGGTTTACTGAAAACAAATAAAAACTGATGACATTCAGTCTAACTCCTTATGAAAACTAGCTAAAACTGATTGATTCCCATAAATCGGGCCCTAGCGATTTAAAAAAAATTATCATACTTGCTAATCCTAGAGTGCACTCTCTCCGTGAAAAAACAATATGATGTGATATACTATAATACTACGAATTTAGACAAATAACTATCTATAAAGATTTATAGTATTAGAATATGTTACATTCTATTTTATTTTTTTTATTTTTGACAAAAAGGAAAGAAAAAAGAAGAATTTTCTTCTTTTTTTTTATTAACATTAAGAAAAAAGCGAATAACTTCATGATAATCCTCACTGAGAAAGAAAACTCCGTTTCTTCATGACCCTCTTTGGGAGTTGTAACTTGTGAGTCGGACGTTTTATCTATCCCCACCCTGGGTAGTGTTGGACGACCACAGTCCACAGAGCCACACCACACGCATGAGTACATGACACACCACACAGCCAGACACAGAGGAGCTGGCCCATCTGCCATGGACAATCCTGCACAAAAACTGGGATTCTTCTCCTCTCCTCTACACAAACGCACAAACACAGACACTGACAGACTGCAGCGCTGACAGCCAGCCAGCCAGCCTACAGGCAGGCAGGCAGGCAGGCAACGCAAACCACCACCCAACCCCAACACCAACAACTACTACTAATACCAAGCCAAAATCAAATCACCCTACTAATTTAATCGCCCCCCACTTAATCTAATCAAACCCTCCAAACCAAACCGATTCCTCCTCTTCTCCTCTCCTCTCCTCTCCTCTCCTCTGCTCCCAACCCCACCCTTCCTTCCTCGACCACAGCAGCGGCGGCGGCGGCAGGAGACGGAGAGAGGAATCGCGATGGCGGCGGTGAGATTCCGATTCCCCTTCCCCGACCCTCCTCTCGTCCTATCGCTGTGTCGTTGTTTCCCCGAATTCCGCTGATTTGGTTGCGTGCGGGGGAGTAGAAATCCCCCGGGTTGGAGCTGCTCCTGGAGCGGATTGATTGGTTGGTTTGATCTGCGTGGGTAACGGGTGCGGCGGCGGTGATCGGCGGCTGGTTGCGGATTAGGTGGGGCTAGGGTTTGCTGTAGGTTACCAGCTTGGTGTTGAAGCCGTTTCTTCTGGTTTAGGGTAAGGGTTTGGAATCGGGCGGTTTCTTGGTTGTGGTTGATCCAAGAATGGGGCCTTTCCCGTGAAGTCCAACGTCCAGCTCGTAGGGGGCACTTGAGATTCGTGGCTGCTTACTTCCGTGCTATTTTTAGGGTTGGTTCCACGAATTTCTCAAGTTTGGGGAATGGATTCTGTGTTTATGTTGAGAGCTTAGCTGCTTGGGAGGATGAGTGATGTTGGAGTTGGATTTCCTGGAATGGTTGATTGGTAACTTGGCATGTATGTAGCTTGTGCACACTGCGAATTTCATTCATCGGAACTAGGGGGGATGAGATTAACTTCTCATTGTAGTTTCTGCTTTCGTGAACTGAATGTAAGTAGGTTTATTTGCTATCAAGGAGATTCTGTGACAATTTTTCTATGTTTAGTGCAGTTGCCTGGCAGTTGTAACTAGGAAGGACATCCTGTTGCTGTGCAGCTTCTGTGATGTTGTTGGTTACTGTATCACACAAGCCACAGTAGTCACGCATGTGATGTCTAAATTGGACTAGGGTGTCTATATTTAGTTAGTGGGACAATCTTTTGCTTCTGATTGCATTAGGTGATTAATTGTTTGCAGAACCCCAGGTGGTCATACATGTGGTGTCTAAATTGGATTAGGGTGTCACAATATTCTGTTTTGTGGAACTAAAAGCAATCCTACATGTGGTTTTTGAGTGGATTAGGGTGTTGCTATATTTTGCTATGCCCCACTATTGAGATAAAGCTGACAGCTTGCTTTAAAGTTTTGATTTTCTTTATACCCTGTTGCAAGCATAATCAAATTACTGGAACTCTTGCGGGTCCTAATAGAGTGATAATGTGGTATCTTTGTTATTTTTTCCTTCAATTAATATCCGGTTTGTTCTTTTTGGCACACGGCACACAATACAATTTCGTTAATGATGGCTATTCAGCTATTTCCTCCTGTCCTGAGCAAGCATTCAGATATATCTAATATGATAGTGTCTGACAAGGGACCCCTTTGCACTTGCAGGAAAAAGGAAGTCCGTTGCCGAAGTTTGGGGAATGGGATGTCAATGATCCTGCTTCAGCTGAGGGATTCACTGTAATCTTTAACAAAGCTAGAGACGAGAAGAAGACTGGTGGCAATTCACAGGGACAAGATTTGGCCGCAAAAAGTGAACAGCCATCTGGACAAGGGTTGTATCCAGCAAAACCGAACAGTTCCGTAAGTATTCTGTTCTTTCCATTTCCTTCTCATGGGCTTTCCAACTCTTTCATGTTGAGTAATGATAAAATGGAGTTCCGAAGTCCAAACTTCCAATTAAGAAGGAAATACACACCTGTCATGATCTTGTGGGCAAAAGGCCAATTTTCTGATAAAAAAAATTTCTTTTTCAATAAAACACATGCATATTTCAATCAAAATCTGGTCGCGAATGATCGTATATGCTGTTGCTGAGTTGCAGCTGTACTTATAATGAAAATTAATGATATTTATGCTGTACGCTTCCTATGGTGGTGTGTGGTTGTTTAAGCCAATGAGACCTTTCTAAGGCCATCATTGCTGGTTCAGGGGGTATTTTTTTGATCGAGGTTCAGGGGGTATGCTATTTAATGTTCAGGTAGGATGTCAAGTTCTTGGAATACCGTAATTACATAACAAAAGTTAGTTAACATGGATGAATTGTCTAACAATCAGAAATGAGCAAGCATATGTTGTTGCAATATTGTTGGAACCACAACCGTCTGTTTTAGCATAGAAATTTGGTTGCTGAAGTACACAACTGTTTCTACCTACCAGGCAATTCTGGTGATTTCATTTACCTTGCAAGTCCATAAGTGTTTGGTTGATAGGTAATCTTTGAGCTCATATGTGAAGACTACCTATTAACCTTTGGGCTCATAGATAATCTTTGAGCTCATTAATAGGTTAATAGGCAAGATTTCAGATACTGTCATGCATAAATATTTGATGATCACTGTCCTTGGATAATTTTCTTATAGTGCAAGGGAACAGGTTATCCTGAAACATAACTTTACTCCTGCAACTCTTGCATTGGAATGCTTTTTTAACTTGGTAAGTAGTTTCGTTGTTTTTATCATGATGTAAATATTTTTTTTATTTGCAGAAGAAATGGTTCTGCTGCATGCAACCTACTGCTGCTGAATCTTGAAGATCATGGGCTGATTGGATTGTGGAAGCGTCTACCTTGTTAAAATCAGAAAAAACTCCACGATATCCATGGGAACTTGTTTGTGGGTTTACTGTGTGGTGAAGATGTTATGGCGGAACATGTAATATTACTTCTATGGTGTGTACATTATTTACAACCTATATATGTGGGAAAACATCAGTGGTGTATATTGATGCATAAAGTTGGTATTTCGTCAAATTGACTCAATTCTTGAATGTTCATTCTGTTTAAAAGGGCGAGAAGAAAAGGCAAAAGTAACACCGAAAGGCCTCTCAACTTGGATGTGCATGTTCTTCTTTTGTGTGCTGACCTATATGCTGCTTTCCACAACAGAGGGGACTTATTCGTGCACAGACGCTTTCTATTACTCCTTTTTCTTGAGTGAGATGACTTTCTGTTGCATTCAGCATGAGACAGCGGGTTTACCTCTTGATAATAGGTATTCAGTTGGTGCAAGTATGGTTTTGATCTTGCAGATTATAATTTATCACGAATGTAATGCAATTTATGCTTATATTAGTTGTGATGTCACAATCAAGCCAAATTTTGACGTGTCGACGTGGTCTCAGGATCATGCAATATGACATATTTCTATATCATGGATTGGCTCGTATACTGCGCGGTACTCCAGCTGTGAAAGCAGTGCGTATGTGTTAACTAATAAACTGTGATTAGGGATGCAAGCGGCGGGCAAGCGGGCTTTTTTTTTTTTTCAGTTTATCTTACTTCTAGTTTATTTTTTCTTCTAATTTTTATACTAACATGCGAGAAATAAACTAGCAAGGGTTTTTTATGTGGGTAGCCACGGGACTACCCACTTACATCCCTAACTGTGATGGCTCGTGCCACGGGAGAAGTGGAATTATGTTTTTCTTTTCACATTTTTGGGTCTATTTTCTGTAAGATAACAACTTGTGCCATTGCTTTTAGGCTCCATTTCACACAGCTCTAAATCTCAGATCCATGCTCAATTTAAACTTTGTAAGTTAAATTGAAGTTCTTGCAAATTTTATATTTCTTCTAAAATATATAAAAAAAAACTCATTCATATGTTATTAATATAATCGCTAGATCCATATATCTGTGGAGCTATGCAAGGTCCTAGTTATAGGATTCTAAAAGAATATTTATGACAATATAAAGGTTGGGACTCAACAATGCATCGTCTAGAGGATTACTTTTTTTTATGGTGGGTTGCCAAGAGAATTATTTAAGCTTAGTCCTAGATTGGCACATATGCTCGTAACTATACTCAACTATTATTCTTTTAGTGATATATAACATATCTGTCATTAGTGAGACATTCATGATAACTTTGTCAATGCTAAGATATGGGTTAGATGAGTTTGATCATGTGACATCTGCATTGCACACACATTAAAATCTTCACTCAAATATTTTTTTGTACCACTTGTTTATTTTCACCTACAAACAAACAACATAATGACAGTATGACCTTATTCTATATATTTAACTGATAACCTACGATTTATGATATATAAAAATATTATATTTGTTATTCAAAACCGTTGGTTTAAAATTCTGAATACGCAAAAACATCTTACGAGTAATACGAATGTGTACTCCGAATGGTATTGTAAAGTCTAGGGCATGCTTGGAATACCTGTCTTAGGCCCAAAACCGGACGTCAACCGCTGAAGGTCCCTCAACTTACATGAGGGGCCAACGCGCTGATTCAGCCACTACGTCGGATAAAACCGGGGTCAAAACCACCGAAGGATCTAAATCGAACGGTTTTGTTAGATGAGGGACGTCCGGTATCTGGTTTTGCTGTTGGAGGACGATTTTGTAACTCGATGACAAGTTGAGGGACCTTCGGTGTACTTTTTCCTAAAATACCGGCTTGTGACTTATTTTTAGTCGGACCGTAAAATCGCGCTGGGGTGGCCTGTATCCCGGATTATAACTCGGCCCAAAAAGCCCATTACACTGGGAAAAGAAAAATCTGCTATCGAGGCCAAAAAAACAGACTTCTCTCTGCACCGGCGCCATCCTCATCTCTGGCGCCACCGAACCCTTCTAACCTTCTCCTCCGCCAGGATCCGTTTTCTCTCAAGCCAGCCGGATCCTTCTCCACCGCCGGGATCTTCTTCACCACCACATTCTCCTCCCAGATGCCGCTGCTGCCACCGGACACATCCACTTTCTCTCGAGCTCACTGGAACCGCATCATCTTGGAGCTCACCGGAAGCCCTTCCCTCTTCTCCGATCTCCTGATTGATTGTCCAGCATCGTCTTGGAGTTGCATTGTGTCTCCATCACTCGGTTCCAAATTTTCTTTTGTGTGCAAATCATTTTCTAGTGCAACTGCAGGTTCCAATTTTTGTAGGTGACATGTATGATTCTTTTCTAGGTTCCAATTTTTTATATGATTCTCATATATCTTCTTCTCAATATGAATTTTCTTGTTCCTGTTCGATGTTCTGCTCTAATTTTTTATGAACAGCGATGTCTGAATCTGAATTTACTATTGGTTTATCCAGATTTGTTGCTTTAGATTGGGGTTTGGATCTGAAATTTCCATGTATTATTCAGTGTTCATGCTAACTTTTTTATGGGAAAGAAAGTTTTCACCTTCTGCAGTTCATAGTGCTAGAAAAGTTTTTGTTTCCTCTCCCAAATAGCTCAGCCAGAGGAGTTTCTTTTAACCTGTATTTTTGGGTAACCAAAGTTACCCGTGATTTTATTTACAACCGAGAAGAAAAAAACCCGAAACATCCAAGTAAGCCCTTAGGGTTGGTTTTAAATTCTAGGGTACTAGATGGATTTCCATCCAAAGTTAGGGGATATTTGGACTTTTTCTTAAATTTATTAAAATATCACAGCAGTTTCCTGATGATCAAATGTCTGTTTCAGTTTCCCATGAAAATTCTTATTATTATTATGCTTCAAATTGCCAAACTGGTTTTAGAGTATTTAGCCATATTGTAAAGCTTCATAATTTTTGAAACTCTTATGGTGCTGCCCTGAGTCCTGACTATGTTTTGTTGCTTCATCGTTTTAGCAGAATTAACCCCGTCTTTGTTTTTGTTCGAATGGAATTGTATTATTTTCTTTATGAAACATTTTGGAATTTAGGTAAATTCCTCCTAACCAAGTAATTTCCACTTATGTGATCCTGTATACGTGGAATAAGTGTTTGCTGCATATGATTTTTTAAAATGAAATGCATCACAACGATTTAGCTACACTTGTCATGTTTGAATACCTATGTATTAATTCAGCCTAAATTGAATGCGTTGGCATATAACTCATGTATATAATTATGGTTTAAATTAGTAAGTTTGCACAGCACATACGCTTCATTACTACTGCAGCAAAACAAATCAAGCGACATGTTTAAAGAATACAGAACATCTGGTAAGGTTTTTTCTATGAAATCTACCCGCTTGGTTCTAAATGTCTGTCTCAGCTCAAGGGTTCGTATTTATCACTATTTATCCTTTTTTTAGGAAATATTCCCGTCTCAATATAAATCACTCTAACTTTTTGGAGGTACACGTACAGTAAGAATGGATGCGTATTTGTGAGCGTCTACTTTGTTTAGCAAGAAAATTATGGTACACCTGAATTGAACTCTTCAAACCCTCATATTTGACATGCAACTCTGCTATGCAATGCACCCGCCCATGTGTTCTCTGTATGTTTTATGTTTTGACACTTTTTAACAACTTATTTTATAAATAGATTATTAAAAAAACTTATTCTAGTAATAGATACTTTTCTCAGTGCAGTGACCCTTGCATCGAGGTCCAAACGTCTTGGCGCTAACGATGCCGGCGCGGACACCCTCGTCCTCCTCGTAGCCGAGATGTAGAGGGGTCGGTTCCAAATATATTGGCATTGAAGACCTATTTGTAAAATATATTTTTTAAAAAGGATTAAAATGTTAATTTTTTTATAAAAAATAGGTTCTTAGTGATAGTATGTTTGGCGTTAAGGACCTATTTGTAATAAAAAGTATTTATATTTCAACCCTTTTAGGAATTTTTGATAAATAAGTCATTGGCGCAAGTTTTTTTTTTTGCCGACCCCTTTACATCAGCGACTTTGCTACCATAGAAGGTTAGGGTGTCGGTACCAAGACATTGAACCTCAACGGTAATGACTTTGGGCTGAGAAAAAATATTTATTTATGCCATCATATACGGAGAATTAAATCATCCATGCCATCAAATTATTCGATACTAGCTAGATATAGTAATCAGCTGAGAAAAAAAAAGACCCTTCAGATTAACCAAAATAAAAGGCTCGCGCATAGCTCGGCCGAGGCGCGATACCACGTAAAGCTTTTGCTAAGTCGCTGCAGTGCCACGGGGTGGTTTTTTTGCGAGAGGGCCCTCCGCTTTGCGTGTAATTCGATCGACGTCCCTCGCGAATAGTACCCCTGAGGTGATACTTTACGTGGGGGTCATTCGGAAATACGGATATTTCGTTCGAAGGAGAGAAAACCGCGATTTAGGACCGCGTTATAAATTACGGAAACGTAGGGGCTTTTCTGCGGAGCACCGCGCGGTCACGGGGCCATCGCCCACAGCCCTAGCTGCGTCTGCTGTGCGCCGCCCCCTCCCCTGCCGACCCACGCAGCAGCGCTGCTGGCCCCTCCCCCGTCCCCGCCTCCGCCTGTGCCTCGGACTGCCGTCGTCGCCATTGGCGCACTTCCCGGTGCCATCTTCTTCTCCGCTCCGTTTCGATCTCCGTGTTTGCTCCGTCTTCGCCTAAACTGTTGCTGGCCGCTCCTTCATGCCGGCGTGTTGCTTGTGATCTGGCGCGGGGCCAGCCTATGTGGTCATGATGGTGTGATGAGGTGAATCAAGGTGGAGAACAAATTATGGTCTCTTGCTTAGTAATGTTTTTTCCTTCACCTGTTTGTTTGACGGTGCTGGTTGGTTTCCATTATAGGGGAATTCCATCTATTATGCGTTGGGGGGGAGAGGACTCGTGTGGAGGACAGAATAAGGGGATTATGGGATGTTTAGGATGGGTTTTCCTGCTTCCTACTTTTCTCCGTCTATTTTCCCATAAATTGATTTTCTAGGTGCTTATTGTTCAGATTTAATTAAGTGCTAGAGTTTGTTCTTGCCAAATCTCCAGCTTGACATATGTATCATGATTTCCTATTGCTATCAGAATTCTTCCCCGAATTGTTTGGCTATTGCATCCGAGATAAAATTCCACCAAACATTGTATTTCTAATGAGAATGCTTGATCAATTTAGAAGATCTTAACATGGAATGTTTGTCTGTGATAGGTTCAGTCAAAAGGGTTCATCATGTTGTTGCAGTACATTAAGTTTGTGTTTGTAATGGTTACTGTTGAGTTATGTGTTTCAGTACCTTTCTCTGTTATTTCCTTCTATTTTCTATAAGCCAGCATGGTTGTTTGCGCTTTAATTGTCGCAGCAAAGCCCGGTTATACTTCTAAAGCTCCATTAATTGATGTATTGTTCAGAAAGCTTTGACTGCAGTGGTCTCTTTGGAAGTGCAAGAATAGTATTCTTCATAGGATAATGTAAGCCGGCTATATTTTATGATTGAGTTTTACGGAAAGAGCCAATTGCGTTTTATAGTTAGTTTAGTTTCTATGGATGCACGGTTGTGGTTCTCTTTGTGTTCCTTTGTGATGTTGCAAGATGGCAGGGTTCAATGAATAGATGGAAAATATAAACTGTTAGTTTTGTTAGGTCTGTTGTATCATTTTTTCCATTTATGGTCTGTTACGTGCTGGTGCTTGCAATAGGGCAATTCATGTTTTGTCTAGTTTTTAGGGCCTATTCAGGTGGGTGCTTTGCTTCATTGCAATGGCATGTGTTTCAACACGTAGCATCCATACCGCACTGTTGCATGGTTGGTTACGGATAAAGCCACATGGAAAAAATGTATTAGCGGATATGTGAGTGGATCTACCTTGGTCTACCACATGGGTGAAGATCATACCTATATTTAGATGTCCTGATTAGCCATATGGTTGGTCAATCTATTTAGCTATACATATGTCTAAAGTGTGGGTAAAAAACATACTCTGTACTGTGGTTGCTCATATCTCTTATTTTTGTTTCTTATTTAAAATGAGCGAATCATGTTCATAGTTCTACTTTTTCACTTACGGTTTTGGGGTTATCTTTTTGTTGTGTATTCTAATTCTCATTCCTCACTTGGCTAGAACCTTTGTGTGATGTGATACATATTTTCATGTTGCAGTTTGGTATTGTTCTAGGTACAAGTTTGTAGTTGGGTGTTGGGAATCGAGTGCATCACAAATATTACTTTGGTGTTGTTATCCTGATTATAATTGGGTGTGAAAGATGATTATCCTCATCACATGCTTTGCAGGACCGATTCGAGGCAAATGAATAAATGAGCTCCATGTTGTTTGCGATGTCATGGTATCGTTATTGGTTATCAGGAAAGAGTCAGGCCATACACTGCTCTTGGCACTTATTGTAAGAGACATGATGATAAACCCATGGTAAGGTTTGTTCAGGAAATTTAGGTATCTGATTTTGTTTATAGCACTCACAGGTTTGGGCTGAGACAAAAGAAAAAAAAATACATGTAGATCATGCTTAGTTGTACCTTTCTTACGCTTCCGGCTCGATTGTTTTGTTTTGTTCAGTGTGTGCTTTTACATGTGAATTGATTTGCACTTCGTTGCATATGTTTGTTCCTCGTATCTATAGTTCAATGGTTAGGAGCATCTGCCTGTTAGCTCCTCAGTGAATCTGATAGATCTCCTAGTGTTACAGATAATTTGCAATTGATGCTTTGGTATACCATGCATAGACTGACATATCATGTATTTTGTATTCTGCAGGCTTTTTGTTCATCAAGATTAAATGCTTCGATGGGAGCAGCTTGTGGAAAGTTGTAATGTCTTCCCTGAAGTATTATGTTAGATTTACTTTACTTCCAAGGAAATGTAATCTCCATTTTTTTTATAATTCCTTGCTGAATTGTAACTTGCTAAGCAGATGTATGCTCATCTGGTAGTTCAGATTCAGGACAGTTAAACTATACTGGTCATTATGTTGCCAGGAATAAAGGGGGCATGCCATACGGCACCTCTATGCTGGTCATTATGTTGCCAGGAATAAAGGGGGCATGCCATACGGCACCTCCTCAATGTGTGTCCCTCGCGGTGCGAATTGTTCTGCTTAGAATTAGATCGAGGTGTTTAGGGTTTGTTTCCTGGTTGGATTGATCCCGACTGATTCATGATGTTGGGGTCGTGCAGCTGCTGTAGGGGCCCACGGTGCATAGGCCCCCAGACTCAGTGGATATCGTTGTGTATCGTTTGTGTGCCTATGGTTTATGTACGTTGAGTGGTTCCTTTTGTGATACCACCTTTGTTATCTGTGTAACCGGCTCAGTACACAACTGTTTGCCTTACGCGTGGGTCCATTTCGGTTAGGTCTGACCGTGCAGCAGTTGTGGTTTTATTGGGTGTCAGGTTTGTGCGTGCGGGGTCGCGTCGCCCTCCGTGATTGGTTCAAAGATTTGGTTCACTCGCTTGAGTTGGTTTGGTCAAAGTGCCTTCCTCCGCCACAATTCGCATCAAGACAGAGGAGAGATCGACAATCACATGTGATCATGCCACTGCTTCAGAGGTTTCAACATATACATCATGTTGGTGGTAAGTACACTCAGGTATACGAAAGGCAGCAAAAGATTCACCACATCTTTTACTCATACTTATCTTTATATGATTGAGACATGAGCATACATGGTTATGTTTCTTGTGTCTATTTGCATATGCTCTGGTTTGGGTGTTTGCACGAGACATCTATAGGCTTTTTAAATTAAGCATGGTGCTTAGGTTAAGATAGTTTGCTTTAATCAGATTAGACATGGAGTTGAGTTTGATTAATGAACTCTCAGAGCTAGTATGTTCATAGACATTGGATATATATCCCATGTGAACTAGATTTTCAAATTCATGGGTGAGTCCTCAAGTTCAATTCACACTGGAGGTAAGACAGGGCCCAGGAAATGAATCAATAAATTGCAAACATGCAACGGAGTAACGCATCACCTTTCAAGGTGCACGATAAATATGTTGTCAATTGCTCCTTTGTTACGATAGTGCAATTTTATCTTAAGCCCTGTATAAGTTGTGCTTAATTAACAATTTGGTGAATAAAAAATGTTTTTAAGAATAAAAGATATGTCTCTCGAAAAACACGATAATAATAATTGGCAAACTTGTGGGATCCACGCTTCTTAAGTTTTGAATCCAATTCTTTTTTAGTGTGGATGTGAACAACTAATCTTGAGGCTACGATAAAACCTTTTCAAATCATTGTAGCCCCTCGCCTATTTGTTGTCCATTAACCTTTTGCATGGAATAAATTGATAACTAGAGAGCAGTGTACAATAACTCCAAGATTCGGATAACGCTCCTTGGTCTCATGGGACAATGGATGCTCAGGGAACCAAGTAGAACAAATGCAAGGCTTTGTTGCATTAAATTTGGTTCTGATCTTGGTAAGATCCATCTAGTAAGAATCCCAAACACCTAGTGTATCGTCGCCTCATATATCCGCCCTGCTAGGATACTCATCATGCTCCTTGTTGCCATTAAAAAAATTAATTAGATAAAAATAAAATAAAATAAAATAAATTTAGGCACTTCATGCGCCTAGAGTTATTTGAATAAGATTTGGCTCACCGGTATTTCACCCCGGTGGAAGCCCATTTGCTTTTTATGTTTTTTATTGAATAAACACAAGGTACAAAACAAGTGTGGGGGAGTCTTTCCGGAACTCCCGACGTGCAACAACATCAACTTGACACATAAATATGATGAACACCAGCCCACGCCTGTGCACAAAATTCAGCAGCTAGAACCAAGTCCTGATTGGGTCGGCCGAACCAAGTGTTTACTCGACCTTTTTCTGGCCCGATTCTGTCATCCTTCGCCGTATGGTCAGGTTTGCGCGTCTTCTTCCTTATCCTCCCATGTTTGTGAGTCAAACCTGCATGAAAGATTCAAATACAATTTAGTTTGGCTCCAAATAAAAAAAAGCATTAACTTTCAACAAATAAAATTTTCCTATGATTAATGATGTATACTTTTTATTCTTTGCTAACACTCGTCACTTGTGAACAACCATCTATGATAGGGAACCTTACTCATCTAAGTAATTGATATATGTGATATGGTTTTGACAAAAGAAATTCATGTCCAACTGTCATGATACTTGGGATTTTATTTTGTGAAAATAAAAAAATCTTTTTGAGCAATACTCCTCACTGAATATATTATTAGCTACCAAGGCCATATATGATTCTCATTGCAAAATCCTGGTATATGTTTAGGCTGCTTAGCATTACATTGAGCCTTGTTAAATTATTGTGACCCGTGTAAGATGCTTTTCATACTTTCATGATCAAGATCACACGCACACTCCACATACACACATGTATGGAAAACTTCTACACTAGAAGCTAGCATCTCTCATCCATCATTTATTTTATTTTATCCATTATCCACAAAATAAATACTCCAAGTCATTTATGCCTTTTCCTCCAAAATTCTTTCAAAGAAAAAAAAAGAGAGTGAGGCATGGCTATGCAAAAGAAGGAAAAACAAAGTCTTGCTCATACAAGCATGGAGCATTGATGAAAAAAAGAGAGAAAATAGAAAAAAAATCTTGCTCATACAATGTATGGGGCATGATAAAAAAAGAAGAAGTGTTTTTCAGATTTCCAAAGAGAGAAATATGGAGGAGGAGGTATACTAAAGGAGTTGCTATCTTTTATTTCCGTTCTCCACCCACAGAATAACCATACACATACACACACATGCACATTAGAGTATGACTTGTCATCTCCTTGGGTCCAGTCTTTTGGCTTTGCAAAATATGTGATGCAGGTATACCCCGATTGATCCCTACCGAGCTCCACTTATACAGCCTTTTAAATAGGGACATTTCTGCAAAATATGCCTTAGTGAGGATCCACAAATCAAACCACAAGAGTGATTTGAGAAAGAGTCATTTGAGGAGTAAAGCTAATTTGCGAAAATATATGAAAACCCCTAGAGATTTACAAGAGGAACAAAAAGGACTTAAGTCACGGGAGCGCCTAGTTGGCGCGTGTGCGTCCCCGACACTCGTTTCTGGGACTATACGTACAGTTAACTAATCAATTAGTTTTAGATAATTACTGTTTGGGATAATAATGGTAGAAGTAAGAATTTTTTTTCCACGAGATTATTTTTAACTAACAAATTGAAAAGAAATCTATATTTGAAGTCAAATTTTCAAAATTTTAAATCTAGATTTAAAAATTTTAACTCAAAAATTTGAATTTTTAAATCAAGTTTTGAAAACTTTCAACTTTTCATCTCAAATTTGAAAAACTTTCAACTCAAGTTTGAAAACTATCAAACTAGATTTGAAAACTTTCAACTTGAGATTTGAAAACTTTCAACTTAGATTCAAAAACTTTCAACTCGAGAATCGAGATTCGAAAACTTTCAAGTCCAGATTTGAAAATTTTGAAAACTTTCAACTTGAGATTTGAAAACTTTCAACTCAAAATTCGAAAACTTTTAAGTCCAGATTTGAAAATTTTCAAAACTTTCAACTTAAGATTTGAAAATTTTTAACTCGAGATTTGAAAACTTTCAAGTCCAAATTTAAATTTTATAAGTTAAGATTTAAAAACTTTCAACACAAAACATTTGAAAAACACATGTTGTTGGAAGATTAAAAAAGCAAAAAAAATCACGGAAAAAAGAAAGCGAAAAAAAATTAAAATTAATCAAAAAAAGAAAAGGAACAAAAATCACAGAAAGCGAAAAAAGAAAAGAGAAGAAACGGCGCGAAAAAAAAGAAAAGAACGCGCGCGCGTGCTGGGCCGTGTGGGCCGGAAGTGGTCGCTGGTAATACGCGGGCGCGAATTAGGATTCTCACTTAAGTCACTGTTGGTATTTCTTAATGACATTACTAGAAATATAATTCCCAGCAATGGCACGGAAATACTTCTGGTATATTATGGTTACAGAGTTCATCCGCAAGCGCACGGATATACCATTGTAGCATTTCACCCGAGAGTATTCGAAGGGTATCATATTTATTTTATCCCATGGGAAGATCATGTAGAGAGAACTCAACTAATAATTTATATGATAATCATATTCTAAGTAAGATAATCCAAGGGTAGAGTGACACACAAGCATTCAACTACTCATCCTCATAATAAATAATCTAAGCTAGGTGGAAAGAAAAGAGAAAGAGAATATATTCCTATACTTCTAATATACATAGTATACATACATTCTAGTTAACTGATATACTAGCTAATACCCTCTATCCGATGCCCTCCTGGTACTTCGGGAAGCCACCCCTGACTGCCGAGTTCCTTACGACAGTCCATCATGACCATCCAACCGGGGCTAAATATGGAGGAATACCCTCATCAGGAAATTAACTTAGGATTATATATAGACGCGGAGGAATACCCGTACTGAGCTGTCACCATCAGCGGCCCACCTCTCATCCACAATATATATCCCCAAATAATGATATCCCGTAATCTAGACACCACGTCTAAACTACCAGATACTACTCTAATATCATCGTTATGACATAGAGTAATTGCATATGGAAACACTATACCCGCACCAAAACATCTCCCAGATAAGCTAGCAGTATATTCAGTATAACATGAACATAATGTAAAGTTGGTACTCGTATACTCGGATTGTATTCCAATACCATAAATGTATATAGTAGAGTATTCTAATAAAAGTACAAAGCTTACGAAAGAGGAAAGGAAAGCTACTGGAGCCATACCCGAACTCTTCCGAAGGCTTCCGGACTCCTGATTCCTATTCTAATTGTATTCCACCAGCTAGATACTACTAAACTAAACTTGAGAGGAATGAGAGAGCTATTGCTTGAGGTGTGTGAGTGAAGTGAGAAGGTGAAGTCCTTTTATAGCTGAACTATGACGGTTGTCATGGTTGGAATGGTCGGTAATACCCTCCAATCGTCATTGGGGCTTCATCTCCACCGTCCAGCCAAAACCTGGATCCAACGGAGGCGAGGGAGGTTCGGCCGAACCTGGGGCTGGCCCAATCCAGCCCAATTTCGGTTGGCGGCCTCCTCTGCTGCTTCAC